ATAAATTTTGTTACAAAGGATGCTTATCCGAAGAAGATATTCAAAAGACACGTGCAGAGCGACAGATGCCATGGACCCGGTACATCTCGAATCTCCTTGATTTATGAACAACGAGGAGGATCGATGACAACCGGTGTACATCCGTGAAAAAGGAGGCTTCTAGGGTCTGCAGATGTTCTCTGCGAGCACGCACGTGCCAAGAAACAATCGTGCAGAGAAGAGCACATCCTGAGACACTTTTGCAGCCTCTTTGTCAAGATAACAACGAACTCAAGATGATACATACTTCCTTCATGCTGTAGAAACTTGAAATATATGTTGGTGTCTCTATATTAAATTAGAGAAATAAAGATTACTTTAGTCAAGAATAATTTTGCTCAGAAGAATAGTTGTATGAATTAATTTTTGTCATTTAATCATACATTGTCACGAACATTTTATCATTCATTTATTTATAGTATTTTATTTTTAGTTTAAAGCAACTGTTTGTAGACATGGTATTGAAAAACGATGTCTGAAGAGATCTTCAGTCACGAATTAAATGTGGCAGATGTTTCCTGTTAAACGTCTTCTTCTGACAGGATGCTTCGTCCGCCATTTTGTGTAAAACAGAGCAGTCTTAAGTCTTTGAAACTGTAGGGGATTTAATAAAAATTTGAGAGCTTTGGAATTTGAGGATCAGGGTGTTTGTGCATTTTTGATTTAAAAAATTTCAAAATTACCTTTTGTAACTTAGAAATGTAAAAATATGGAATTTTCAAGAGAATGATCCAAACAAAAGAAAATTGAATACTACTTCAGACAAGTATTAATGCTTTCATAAAGAGAAATGGCAGCCATGCGTCTGCGATCTTTCAATCGAACGAAAACCATCGAACGCTGATTTATTTTCTTAGAAAATATTTCGGAAACTTCTCTAGAGTACTAGTCTATCTATCTCTATGTTTATTATACGTACGTTCCGAATTGAAGCTTCTGTTTTTATCTACGTCACTCAATCTGTTTTAATTTAATAGAATTGACTACTATAGTATAATTATATAATTGTAACAATAATATGCAATTTGTGTTCATTTTTAATTAAGTAAATTTATTGAACATGTAATTTGTACATTACAATTGAAATTTTATTTAGACATTATACTAATTTATATTGTATATACGTTTTATACAATTTTGTACAATTTTATACAATTTTATACAATTTTATACAATTTTATACAATTTTAGACAATTTTAGACAATTTTAGACAATTTTAGACAATTTTATACAATTTTAGACAATTTTGTACAATTTTGTACAATTTTATACAATTTTATACAATTTTATACAATTTTATACAGCTTTATACAATTTTATACAATTTTGTACAATTTTAAACAATTTTATACAATTTTGTACAATTTTAAACAATTTTAAACAATTTTAAACAATTTTATACAGCTTTGTACAATTTTATTCAATTTTACACAGCTTTATACAAGTTTATACAATTTTACACAATTTTTATACAATTTACAAACTGACTTTTGTAGCAACATATTTTTCTCTAATTTTTGTTCTCGCAATTTTCAAGATATTCAATAAAATAACAATTGACTAAATAATTTCGTGACTAACGAAATGAAAATTTCAATTTAATTTTCTTAGTCATAAACCAGTCACAAAGGTCTGAACGTATGTTGAATTTTAATAGAAACATTTCCAAGAAATAGCACGAGAAATCGATGCTCCATTGTGTTACAATAGCGACAGATGTTGCGATCGCAAATCGATCTATTCAATGGCTTAAGAACAGAAATGGGGGATTAAATGTGTGAATCGAAATGGGGAAATCGTGGAAACTGTGATCTCTGGATAAGCTTGTCATTGTTGCATCAGCGGTGAATGGTCACGTGACGTCATAGAGCAAAATGGCGGACGTTCCACTTCGAGTTTTCGAAAATAATTTATAGAATTATTAGATATTTTTTTGTAACGAAGTTTGGATAATTATTTAAAAAATACTTGAACAATTATAAACAGCTATAACATATTATTATTTACGTACTATTATTATTATTATCATTATAGCTATAATATACTATTATTTATGTATTATTATAAATCGAACAATTAGATGGTTGTTAAAAAAGCTATATAATCACAAGAAGAATGAGATAAATACTAAACCAAAAACTTCATCTATGTTAGATAAAATAATTATCTAATTCTGTAGTGTAGTGAATTAGAGAAGTTCTGAAGTTAAATAAAACAATTACAAACAACAACAATTCAATTCTAAAAATAAAATTTCAATAAAATTCAATAGGAAATTTTTAAACAAACTTGAATAATTTAGAGATGTGATTTGAAGATTTTTAAAATTTTGGGTTCACAAGTTCAGAAATTTGAAAGTTCAGAAACTTGAGTGTTCAGAGATTCTTAAATTCGATAGCTCAGTAAATAAAAAACGAGAGAAAGCAAGGGTGAACTCGTTAATTGTCAAGTGTCTAATTGTACCAACGAGAATTAATCTCAAATGTTACTCGTTCGAATCGAACTCTTTTCGAAGATCGCTGGTCCAAGGGTGGCCACCCTACAACAGCACGTGCACGGTTTCGGGGGCTCGCTAGGGGTGTCGATGGGGCACACTCTCCGCTAAGGGTGCTTTTCCCTTCTGTGGATCCTCCCCTTTAATCTCTGGCTTGCTTTTCTTCTGTAGAACGTTCGTCTGTGATTTCAACAGCTGCTCCTTTCGAATTGCGACGCAAAATTCTTTCTTTGATTTCGGTTTCTTTGGCGGGAAATTTTTTATTTTCGATCCTTTTGTTCGCTCAGTTTCTCAAGTTTCTTGTGAATACTGGTTTGTAAGTTGTAAGTTATGCAGAACGACAAAGGTTAGGTTGAAGCATTACTTTGAATGTTAATTTAAAACTAACCTAACCTACCTAATTTAACTAACCCGACCTATCTAACCTATCTAACCTAACTTACCTAACTTATCTAACCTCACCTACTTAACTTATCTAACCTAACCTACCTAACATATCTAACCTAACCTACCTAACTTATTTAACCAAACCTACCTAACTTAGCTAGCCTAACCTACCCAACCTAACCTACCTAACCTAACCTACTGACCTAACCTACTGACCTAACCTACTGACCTAACCTACTGACCTAACCTACTGACCTAACCTACTGACCTAACCTACTGACCTAACCTACTGACCTAACCTACTGACCTAACCTACTGACCTAACCTACTGACCTAACCTACTGACCTAACCTACTGACCTAACCTACTGACCTAACCTACTGACCTAACCTACTGACCTAACCTACTGACCTAACCTACTGACCTAACCTACTGACCTAACCTACTGACCTAACCTACTGACCTAACCTACTGACCTAACCTACTGACCTAACCTACTGACCTAACCTACTGACCTAACCTACTGACCTAACCTACTGACCTAACCTACTGACCTAACCTACTGACCTAACCTACTGACCTAACCTACTGACCTAACCTACTGACCTAACCTACTGACCTAACCTACTGACCTAACCTACTGGCCTAACCTACTGACCTAACCTACTGACCTAACCTACTGACCTAACCTACCTAACCCACCTAACTTGTCTAACCTGACCTGTCTAACCTACCTAACTTACCTAACCTAACCTGTTAACTCATCTAACCTAGCTCACCTAACTTACCTAACCTAACCTTAAAAACTTGAGTGTTCAGAGACTTCTAAGTTTGACAATTTAGTTGATAAAAATTAGAAAAATCGAACTCCAAAATGTACCTAAAAGTAATAAAACCAAAAACCATCAAAATGTAAGTAAATGAGAAAAATATAATTAAAAATTGAAAGCTTCAAAATATAATTAAAAGTGTAAAAATGAAAAGATAAGTAAAATTTGAAAATTGTAAGTCAAAGTTAAAATAAAAGTAACAAAACATTTCGGCTTCGGTTCCTAAAACGCATAATAATCGAAAGCGATCTACTATCCCCATTCACTAACCACCACCGCTTTCAAGAGCCTCGTAGAGGAGGGGCGCCTACTACCTGGGGGTAGCGTTCATGCCAATGGCTTCTACTATTCGCAGTTTAGGCTGTCAGTTGTTAGAGAACGGACTGACAGCTAACCGATTTGTGGCACACATCCACGGACGCTTTTCGTGTTCGGTGTTGGTCCGCGTCTTCCATTAATCTTCGAGCTGCGTCGGTGAAAAATTGATCTTCGGACTGCGTCGTTCTCTCTGAAAACTACAATTTTTAAACAAGAAACAAGTGGTCTAACAACCAAGTGTTCTATAAACAAAAATATAAATAATGTGTTACTAAAATTAATTCGTCGGCGTGTTCGGTTTTGAAAAATGATTTTTTACGGGTCGGTCAGAAATAGTTGTTTATAATTTTTGCAAGATTGAAAATAAATGAAAATGATTCAAATGTGGATTATTTTATATTTAATGATATGTTTGTACAAGTTGTAATTAGTGAATTCAAAGCTTTGTGAGACGAATGTAATTTACTTTTTATTTTTGTTGCGTTTGTGATGTGCGTCACGAGTGCGTCACGAGGAATCAAGGGTTCAAATAAATAACAAAACCTCAAGTGTTTGACATACTTTGTATTGGATGATTTTTGTACAAACTGCAACTACTGAACTGAAAACTTAGTAAGGCAAAAATAATTTACTTTTTATTTTTCTTAAATTTTTTATGTGCGTCACGAGTGCGTCATGAGAAATCAAGGCTTCAAATGTTAGGAATTTTATACAAATTGTAACTGGTATTAACCTCAAAACTTCGAGAGACAAATACGAATTATTTTTATTACGTTTGTAACGTGCGTCATGAGTGCGTCACAAGAGATTAAGGATTAAACCAAACAAGAAACCTTGAAATGGTTGTACTACGAATTTAGAGATTTTTAACTGTGCAAACTGCTACTCGTGTCGAACTCGATGCTTAATAACGGAGCGAAGATTTATTTTAGTTACGCTTACGATGTGCGTCATGATTGCGTCACAAGGAACCAAGACTTAAATTAAAATAAAAAAAACCTTGCAACGGTTATATTGTCAGTTTAATACAAACTACAACTCCTGTCGAACTCAAAACTCGAACGTGAAACGAATATAATTTATTTTTGTTACTTTTGTACTGTGCGTCACGGGTGCGTCACAAGGAATCAAGAGTCAAATTAAATAAAAAAAAGCTTTCAATGGCTACATTAGAAATTTAATACAAACTAAAACTCGTGCCGAACTCAAAACTTAATCGTAAAATAAATATAATTTATTTTCGTTACATTTGCACTGTGCGTCACGAGTGCGTCACAAGGAACCTGAAGTCAAACCAAATAAAAAAACCTTGAAATGGTTGTATTATGAACTTAGACATCCTTAATACGAACTATTTTTATTACGTTCGTACTGTGCGTCATCAGTGCGTCAGGAGTGCGTCACGAGTGCGTCATGTGGAACCAAGACTCAAACTAAATAAAAAACCTTGAAATGGTTATATTATGACTTTAGAAACCTTCAATATAAACTATTTTTATTACGTTTGTACTGTGCGTCATCTGTGCGTCGCGAGTGCGTCACAAGTGCGTCATGTAGAAGCAAGAGTCAAACTAAATAAAAAACCTTGAAATGGTTATACTATAACTTTAGAGGCCATTATTACAAATTATTTTCGTTACGTTTCTACTGTGCGTCACCAGTGCGTCACCAGTGCGTCAAGAGTGCGTCATCAGTGCGTCAAGAGTGCGTCATGAAGAACGAAAAATCAAACTAAACAAAAAGCCTTAGAAACCTTGAATAAAAACTATTTTTGTTACATTCGTCCTTTGCGTCACTAGTGCGTCATCAGTGCGTCACCAGTGCGTCACAACTAATCAAGAATTAAACCAAACAAAAAACCCAGAAATATTTGAACAGTGAACACTGCATCAGTTAATGGAATAATTAAAGCAAGAAATGTGACCGAAACATTTTGGCGGGAAAAAGCAATTCGAAAGATCGATGGCGCGCACTTCGAGATGATCGAGGAATGCTCGTTTAAAATGCGAGAATCGCGGAGAAGCGACGTCGAATGGTCGACCGCGTCCGAGGGAATTGGATTAAACAAACTGGATCAATTTGTGCCTTCGAACAGATTTTTCCGTCGAGGCACGGGGTGCGAATACGCTCCTCGCGTATTTTTATCGTTGTCTTCCAGCGAGTCCACGGAAAGTTTGGGAAAGTACCGAAATAGAAGAAGAATGTCTAAAAAAAATTAAGTTGGAGGTTAATGTTTCGATACTTCGAATAAGTGAAATGTGAAAGAGCAAGAGAACCGAAGAGCGTTACTATTTCTAAGCCACGTCCTTGAGGAGTGTTCATCTTGGAGGCTGGAGGTTGGCCGTGGCCGATTAATCGCGCACCAGGGCCTCTTCATTGTAGCAACAAACCCGAAGATGCTGGGAACACGGGCCGAAAATAAAGAGAGCTGTGATTCTCATCGATAAATAATCGTCTCGGAGATTATAGAGACCTGTGATACTTGAGGAACGGCATAGTGGAGTGAAGGACTTCGAGAAAGGAGCACGGAGCTGTAAGTTTTGGAGGAAGTTAGTATTTTTGGGGTTTAAGGGTGGAAGGGTATTTGGAAAGGTGACATAGTTTTTCAGGTTTGGGCTTTGTGGATTTTAGGGTTAATTTTTGCAGATTTTGGAGAGGGGGAATAGGTTGAGGGGTGAATAATTTGTGGTGAAGGGTAGGATAGTCTTTATGACACTCTTTTAATTAGGGTTGGAGTGTAGTATTTTAATATTTTAATATTTTAGTATTTCAATATTGCAGTCTTTCAATTTTTCAATCTTACCAAATTTTTGTATTTTTATGTTTTCATATTTTTGGACTTTTAGATTTTTGGGATTTTACATTTTTAGATTGTTACATTTTTATATTTTTACATTTTAAAATTTTTAAATTTTTATATTTTTATATTTTTATATTTTTACATTTTTACATTTTTACATTTTTAAATTTTTATATTTTTATATTTTCATATTTTTACATTTTTACATTTTTACATTTTTATATTTTTATATTTTTATAATTTTATAATTTCATATTTTAACATTTCAATATTTTAATTCGTCAACATTTTATTATTTTAACATTTAAAAATTTCAATATATTAATCTTTCAACATTTTATTATTTTTACATTTTAAAATTTCAATATGCCACAGGTTGTATTGTCAACTTCACTTTCAGTTCCACAAATTATTCATAACCATCATAAACAACGACATTTATCTTATTTAATAAATGTCCATAGTACAGAATTCAGTAGCAGTCACGTGAAAAGCAAAACAAAATGGCCGACACTTAAAATGGCAGGAACCTAACTTAACCTATCCTTGAACGCCACAAGCTTTGACCAAATCACATTAAGTACAATGCACGTACTATATACTAATGTCTTAACAATATACAGTAGTAGTCAGTACCCAATAAATTATATTTGTACCTTTAATTTTAAAAACGTAACAAATTTATAGTGGTCAAATACAGGGTGTCTCACAACTAGTGTAGGTCCCTGAAATGGGGGATAGCTGACATAATTGTGGCGCACAGGGGTGGAACATCAGATACGGTTCGACGAACGTTGTATATGTTACAGTAAAACGTATACAGGGTGCCTCACAACTAGTGTCCCTGAAATGAGGGGGAGCTGAATCCGAATAAGATTTCCCTTCGCAAAAATGGGGTTCGAAGCTTCGTTTTTGAATTATTAAGGAAAAACACGGACCAATCAGAGCGCGAGGATTACGCGCGCAGAC